CCGAATTCACTGGAGCCACAGGAAGGGAGGAATGGGGGGGTGGGGAGGAGGGAACCGGGATAGTTTCACCGGGAGGGAGTGAAGTAGCAAACGGGGAAGTATCGGTTAATAGGTATGCCACACGATTGGAGGACAACGTGTGGCTGGCCGATTTGACCAGGGATGCAAATTATAGTTCAACAGATACACAATATAAATACCATAGAGAGATATGCAGTGTAATAGCTAAACAAGCCCTAAAAGCTATGAAAAACCTTCACACTACAGACCAATACAGCAATCTGCCCCGCACAAAAGTGTTACAAAGTTGTGCTGAACCAAATCCACAATATTTAAATTGGCTGCAGTCTGCTTTAAACAAGCAAGTTGAATACAATGAAGCCAGAGAGATGCTGTATAAGCAATTGGCTTTTGAAAAGGCGAACACAAGCTGTGAAAGAGCTTTGCAGACCCTTCCTAAATGGGAGAGCTACAGAATTGCTGAGCTAATTCAACCCTACCAAAGAGTTATCTCTGTGAGACACCAATCTAACCCCTTTGCTATAACCCTAAAAGCCCAGTTAGAAGTAAAGGATGAAGCCAGACACAGAGCCAGCTGTGTTACATGTGGTAACAGTAACCACTCTCAGAGAGATTGTCCTTGGAGACCCTTGGTAGCAACATCCCCATCTAAGCAGCAGGGGATGGACTGAATTATACCAAGGGTGCCATAAGCAAGGTAAAAGCTATGCCATAAGCATTGTACTGCTTGCTGCCGTGCTGCTTGTAATGCTCCTCTCTGCCACCCGTTTTCCCGAGCAAGAGAGGAAGCAGCTTAAGGCTGGCAATTTGTGCCCCCCCACCTCAGCCAGCGCTTTGTGCCCCTTCACCTCAACCAGCACTGGGCTGGACTTATCCAACCGTGACACAGTCTTCATAACTTCCACAGAGGTAGTGCTAATCCTGACTGGGCGTTGGGGTCCCCTTAGCCCAGCGGTATGCGCACTACTGATTGGAAGGTCCTCCACCACCAGAATGGGTTTATTTGTGCTGCCTGGAGTGATAGACTCAGATTCAAATAATGGCCTGGACTCCTTCACCCCCCTTTCATTCCAAAGGGACAGAAAATCGCTCAACTAATCCCCTTCTACAGTGTGTCNGAACTGGTTTGTGCCTGTCAAGGGCTTGGCTTAATGGCACATCAGACTGATTTATTGGCAGTAGCACTGAGTGCCCAATTAAGAGCACAGGAGGGAGCCAGACCCAGAAGTGGTTGTTACATCTGTGGTGCCCCCGACCACTTTCAAAGAGATTGTCCTAGGAGACTCCTAGCAGTGGCACCCTGCAAGCACCCAAAAGAAAGGAGTGTGCCAAAAAACTGGAGGCGAGGGGCGCTACCGCACACCCCAATGCAACAAACAAATGTGACACAGGGGAACAGGCTGGCAATTTGTGCCCCCCCACCTCAGCCAGTGCTGGGCTGGACTTATCCAACTGGGACTCAGTCTTCATAACTTCCACAGAGGTAGTGCTAATCCCAACTGGGTGTTGGGGTCCCCTTAGCCCAGGGGTACATGCACTACTGATTGGAAGGTCCTCCACTACCAAAATGGGTTTATTTGTGCTGCCTGGAGTGATAGACTCAGATTCTCATAGTGAAATTCTAATAATGGCCTGGACCCCTTCACCCCCCTGTTTCATTTCACTCAACTAGTCCCCTTCTACAGTGTGTCGCCTGTGGGGGGGCTGGGGGGGGGGAGCCAAGGTTTACAGGCCTTGTGGACTGATGGAGCTGATGTTTCCATCATAAAGGACTCCAAATGGCCACTTGACTGACCCACTGTTTGCCCAGCTGCAACCATTCAGGGGGTGGGAGGCACACAAAGACCCAGACAGAGTGCCCAAGTACTCACTGTCTTGGGACCAGAGGGACAAATAGCCAAGGTAACTCCTTTTGTTGCTCCAATTCCTTGTTCACTGTGGGGTACTCAGTTTGGCACAGTCATGCAAATTCCTCCTGCAAGCAGCCAGGTTTTTCAATAGGGGCCATTAAGCTAGTCTGGAAAAGTGACTACCAGCCAGTCTGGAAAAGTGACTTACCAGCCGGTCTGGGTAGATCAATGGCCTATGAAAAGGGAACGGCTTGAGCATTTAAAAAAGCTTGTAAGAGAACAATTAGAAGTAGGACATATTGTGCCAACAAACAGTCCCTGGAATACTCCTGTGTTTTGCATCCCCAAAAAGAGTGGCAAAATGAGGATGCTACAAGACCTCAGGGAAGTAAACGCAGTCATAGAGTCAATGGGAGCATTGCAGCCAGGACTGCCTTCACCGGCCGCTAATAATAATTGATTTAAAGGACTGTTTTTTTACCATCTTTCTGCACCCCGAGGATGCACCAAGGTTTGCATTTTCCATCCCGGCATTGAACAATGCACAGCCCATGCAAAGGTATCACTGGGTTGTCCTTCCTCAGGGGATGAAAAATAGCCCTACAATATGTCAAACAGTAGTGGCAAACGCTATTCACCCCATCAGAAAGCGTTTTCCCTCTGCAATAATCTACCAATACATGGATGATATTTTAATTAGTATGACCACAGAACATGAAATGCAAATTGTTGTTACTGCTCTGACTCATGCTGTCCAAGAAGCAGGGTTGCAGGTTGTGCCAGAGCAAATCCAGCGATTGCAGCCCTGGACCTGTTTTGGATGGAGGATTACACAGCAAGAAATTTCCCCACAGCCACTGCAGCTTGAGGTAAAAGACACTTTAACCTTACATGAGTTGCAAAAACTCCTGTGAGCCATTAATTGGTTAAGGCCTATCCTAGGCTTAACCACAGAAGAGCTATACCCTCTATTTCTGCTGCTAAAGGGGGACTCTGACCTAACATCTAACAGGTCTCTGACAGCAGAGGCAAAACAGGCATTAGACATTTGTGCCAA